GTATATGCATGTGCTCAGACTTTGGAATGTTTACGTCTCTAAACTTTCATTCCAATTAACATGAGACAGTATTAATGCCCCTTTAATAATTGCTTTTAAATTCAGTCCTCTTCAGCAGAAGCGCAGGAATTAATTAATTAATTAAATATTTCCATTTTCTTTACCTAATGTGTGTATTATATAAAGAGAAAAATCTTATATTTATAACTTCTTCTATAAAAAGAGATATGAATTAAAAATGTTTAAATTAAAAATAATATTTTATGTATTATGCATAAATGTAACTGTCCATAGTGCATTTTAAAACAAACGAGATTTCTAACAAATTGTCCAGCATGATAGTGAAGAAATGATGCTCAAATTTTTATATATCCTGCTTTCTCTCAAAATTTGTCATATTTTAAAAATATACAATCTGACATGAAATTCAGTTCTTACAAGCATAGCAAATTTTGTGTAAATATTGTGAAGCTTTCTTTACAGTTGCTCCTGTATTTTTAAAAGTACCAACTATTTTTTAATTTCTTTAACTTTTTTATTTATTTATTTATTTGTTATTTTTTTTACTAACAGTACATTTTAGTTTTAATAATATATATTATTTCATTAATATTTAAAGCTTCTAGAAACGCAAGAATTTTTTTTTAATTTACTTCAGCTTCTATGGAATTAGTGATGTTCATAATATGCATTATAACCTTACTTATTTAAAAAATTGCTAGCGTACTTTACTTTCGCAGTTCATAAGCAGAAATAAAAAATTCCAATAACATGGAATTTAGTAAACAAAACTTTTCTGCGTTTACGTCAGGATCCATATCAAATCCAAAACACTCACTTAAGCGGGAAAAATGCAGATGTTCAGCGTCGTAACTCGCGAACTGCTTGTTTGGCGCCAAAATATTACAGTGACACCTAGCGGAAAATGAAAATATTTAACGAATTCGCGGCAATGGAAACGCTTGTACGGATATGTCTTCAATTGACGCAACGCATTCGTACGCAGTAGTGGAAACGAGGCTTGACTGTGAGATTCGTGCCGTGATTAAATTTTTGAACGCGAGGAATGTTAAACCGGCCGAAATTTATCGTCAAGTGACAGAAGTTTACGGTGAATACGCGATAAGTGATAGAATGGTGAGAAAGTGGGTAAGAATGTTTAATGCAGGTCGAACAAATGTCCACGCCGAGTCTTGGAGTGGTCGGCCTTCTCTTGTCACCGATGATTTGGTAAGGAAAGTTGATGAAGCAATTCATGAGAACAAACGCTTCACAATGGCAACTCTTTCAGAGGCATTTCCACAAATTTCACGTACTGTTTTGTTCGAAATTGTGTCTGACCGCTTGAATTATCGCAAACTGTGTTCCCGATGGGTTCCAAAAATGCTCACTGATGTTCACAAAACAAAGCGACTTGGTAGTGCCCTGACATTTCTCACACGGTAAGGGAGAAAACTTTTAAACCAAATTGTGACAGGTGATGAAACTTGGGTGTGTCATTTCACACCAGAATCGAAACAACAATCGATGGAGTGGAGACACACTCATTCTCCGAAAAAACAAAAGTTCAAAGTGACAATGTCATCACAAAAAATCATGTGCACTGTCTTCTGGGATAGGAAAGGCGTTTTGCTTACTGAATTTCTTCCCAGAGGTGAAACCATTAATGCGGCACGATATTGTGAGACTTTAACAAAACTAAGGCGTGCCATTCAAAACAAACGAAGAGGAATGCTCAGTAAAGGAATTGTGTTGCTCCATGACAATGCTCGGCCCCATACTGCTGGTGTCACTGAATCGTTAATTCGAGAGTTTCATTGGGAGCAGTTCGATCACCCGCCGTACAGCCCGGACTTGGCGCCGCCCGACTATCACTTGTTCCTGCACATGAAGCGCGAGAGCTTGGTGGCAAGCGCTTTGGATCTGACGATGACACGAAAAATGCTGTGGAGTCGTGGTTATCAAAACTGGCGGGAAGTTTCTTTGACGATGGTATACAAAAACTGGTCAGGAAACTATGTTGAAAAATAGTTTAAGACATGTATTTTCATGTAAAAATAAAATTGGATTCAAAAAAATTGTTTTACCATTTTTTTTTTCTTTTCTTTTCTTCAAAACGGTACTTAGTTTCCGAATACGCCTCGTATGTCTTCAAATTTGATTTCATAATTATTTTAGCGTTGAGATGCTGTTCTTTAAGAAGGTGGCCTTTGATATGGCAGCATTTATTTTAATCTTCCAGCCCCCATACCAGGGGGAACGTTGGTTTATGGCTACTTGGAGTGTTTGGTGTGCGAAATTGGGGTTTATTGATGTGCACAAAATAGCAGTGTCGTCTGCATAGCAGGCTATTACTGTATCTTGGATGGTTAGGATGTTATTAATGGGAAAATTTCAGAATCACCCACTGCTTGGCGCGTTTTTAAGAATTGCACATACTCGGTATCCATGTACACATCGACCTATTTGTAGTTAAAAAAACCTATGAGTTGCACAAAAATGGCATTGCGCACTCCCTTGAATTTATCCATGTATACATCGACTTATTTTCACTTAAAAAATCAAAGAAAATTGACAAAAATCTAATTCTCTTTGTAAAAAGCGCCAAACAAATAAGTCGGGATGTCGCATTTTACCCGTTATTAATATACAGATTGAAAAGTAGGGGAGAAAGATTTGAACCTTATGGAAGACCACTGGTAATTTTCTTGCTATTGGAAATTTTTTCTTTAATTTTGAAATGAGATACAAGTAGCTACGGATGAGAACAATTAGACTGATAGGAAACTGGTAATTTATCAGTTTGATAAGTTTAATTTGGCCGTAGTGCCAAACATTATCAAACGCTTTTTCTATATCTAAAAAAAGTGCTGCTACTGTTTCGTTTTTATTGAAAGAGTCTCTGTACTCCACGATTCTAATAGTTTTCCCAGGCCCCGTACCAGGGGAAGAAGAGATATAGGGCGGTAATCAGTAGTAATTTTCCTTGATTTTCCGGGTTTCTTTATACTTGTTATGGTAGCACTTTTCCGTTGATTAGGGTAGTATTTTAGTTTCAAACAGGCATTTATAATTTTGGTGAGGAGGACTATAGCTTTTTTGGGAAGTTCCTTAATTGCTTTATTGGTGATAGTGTCAAGGCCTGCGACTTTCTTCGGGTTAAGCTCTTTAATCACTCGTTTGACTTTTAAAAGGGTAGTCGGTTGGTGGAATTCTTCATTAGTTGCGAGGATGTAATTGACGTGGTTAATGACATTTTGGTCGTTTGGGTTGGGAAAATTACTATCTGCGAATTGCTGTTCATAGAGGTATCCGCGCAAAAAGATTTAAAATTTTGTCCATATTATGGATAACCTCATTTCCATGTGTGATGGATCCAATGCTATTATCTGAGTTTCTTTGACGATTTGAAAGTTTCTTTGACGAAGTGCTTTGACGATTTTCCAGACTGAGTGATCAATATGGGACGGAAAGGATCCAGTTTTCCTTGTGATCTTTGATTAATTTTTCGTAGTTATCTGTTGCATTTATTGAAGCGGAGGATGTCTCTGGGGTCTTGCGTATTTTGAGAGATCTTTCTTAAACGATTCTTCTGTTTAATTTTAAATTGTATATTCCTGGGGAGGGTGATATTTTCATTTTGGATGGTGGTTTTGCAAGTATTTATAGTTTGAGTAATCTTCTGTGTTAAATAATTGATTGCATTGCTGACTTCTATTTCATTTTAAGGGCTAAAAGTTGGATTTATGGTTGAGTCTATGATATGGGTATAGTTTTTCCAATTCATTTTACTTCTCAGTGGTGTTAATCCATGCTTAAGCCCGTACAGGTAAACCGTACTGGGAGATGGTCTGAATCCAAATTATTGTCGACATATAAGAAAGGCTATTGTGAAATTTTTGAGGTGACTATTATATCTATAACATCAGAGGAATTATGATGAATTTTTGAATAGAAGGTAGCTTCGTTGGGAGCAGAAATTATGATATTATTGTTGAGGCTGGTAATTAAATAGGGTAATGTCAATCTGAATTATTGCTTTTTGAGTTCCAGGTTACATGCTTTGAATTTAGATCCTCGGCAATTATGGTGGGATATCCTAAATTAATGATATAGTCAATATCTTGAATATTGAAGATTTTCCCTGGGGGTTTGTAGATTGAGACTAATAAGTATTCTTTGTATTTGCTTGGGAATATGCGCGCACAGGCTTCGATACTTGAGAAGATGGGAAGAGCAAATTTAGAACTGTTTAAGCATCATTTAATTGCGATAGCTGTGCCGCCACTTCTGTTATGGAGACGGTCGCTTCTATGGATTTCAAAATTCGTTATTTTAAAAGAATCTTCTGGTTTGAGGTGGGTTTCGTTTAAAAGGATAATATCTAGATTGTTGCTAAAGATATTTTCTTTGGTATAGGCATTTCGGCCGCAGCGCCAAACGTCTCCAAGCGCGCTACTTTATTGTAAACTAGAACGGACACAGAGAATGCCGCCGATAGTAGGAGTGTATATACGAATGGATAATGTGTTTTGTACATAATTAAAGTGTCATTTAATTAAATGCAGTGTCTTGCCTCAATAAGTACCCACTAAAGACATAGTAAGAGTTTTTGTAGCTTCGTTTTTTCCTCTAATGAGTGCTCAAGTACTAAAACGAGGCATCCCCACACTTTTTTAATTAGTCTAGTATTTTCAACACCTCACAGCACATTAGGCTTTCATTATTAGGTGATAGGTCACATGGACTTCTTCAGTATTTAATACATCGTCCAATATTTGACACTTATTGCATGTTAGGATACATTCAGGTTAGGCTTCCTCATGCTTTTATTTAATCTTCTCTATCTTGCTTGAGCCCATAATAATTATTATTTTTATTTAGTCTGAGTTTTGTTTTTTAACCCCCCCTTTTTTTTTTTTACCTGTCTTTAACAATTTCGTATCAAGCTATTTTTCTCTCAACTAAAATGTCCCTCTTTCTATTTGCCTTTCCTTCGCTTGATTTTTCGCCCTGCGGGCATAAGACTTAGCGGGTGCAAAAGAAGACGTCTTTCTAATTTGTCTATTATGTTCAAAAGCAAAGCTCTTTAATACATTAAGCATGGTTACTTTATTGGTTTGTTAGCCATGTATTGGATGTTATGTTTGCAGCATGCCCAGTTTCCACTCGTATAGTCCGTGAACTATCAGCACGATGACCATTACTTTGTCTTCCCTTAACAATGCAGCATAGAGAGACGCCGACTGTGGTGCGTCGAACAACAAAACTGGATACAGGAGTGGCACAGTATCATCTTTTCAGATGAGTCCCGTTTCTGTGTGCAGCATTCTGATTGCCATATACGTAATTTGAAATTTTTCAATGTAATTTGAATTTGGTAATTTGAATGCAGATCGTAACATTTCTGACATCTTACGTCCAGTGGTTGTGCCCTATCTTCAAGGCCTGCCAAATGCCATCTTCCAAGAAGATAATGTAAGACCACATGTTACAAGTTCTGTTCCGACCTTTCTCCATACACAGGGTATTCGATTGCTGCCCTGGCCAGCACGGTCTCCAGATCTGTTACCCATTGAAAACATCTGGTCATGGGCTGATAAGAGACTGGCTCGCCAATACGGTTGATGAAGTGTGTCATAAGCTTGAAGCAGCATGGAATGAGTTAGCCGTTTCTGTCATCCAAGCCCAGTTTGACTCCATGCCTAACCAAGTAAGGGCCTTTTTAGCTGCCACAGTGGCAGCTGTTTCTGCTAATTCCGCACAACTGTAAACCCCCAAACTGCTTAGAATCATTTTGGTCTTCATGCCATATTGTTTACATACAATAAATATCTTTTTTTGTATTTGCTTTCATTCATGGTGTTGCAATTTTAATCGAGCAGTGTATATTTACTCTTTATTTAGGTATTTATAAACAGAGGGTTTAGATGTTCTAAAGTGCAGTATTATGGTAGAACACCCTTGCAAAATAAAAAAGTATTCCAAAGAACTCTAATATACAAAAAACAATAAAAATAGATTTGCAACTAATAAAGTTGGCAAAATTGATAAATCCAAACATCGTGATGGTTTAGAAACTGAAACTTTACCAGAAATACAGGTAATGATTTAAAAATTGCTTGAGAAGAGAGAGAAAACGAGGTGTTGACATAATGGAACTAAGATTCTTAGATGAAAAATATATGCACAACAAAGCCAATAGGTTCAAGGAAATGAAAAGTCATGAAAGAGAGAATCCATCATCAGCAGCATGTCAAATTATGATTTGCAATTTGATTGCTGAAAATTAATGTCATCTCATTATTTCTGTGCGATACTGACTTTAATGAGTATAGAAACAAAGTAAGAAATAATAATAATAATAATAAAAAACACTTTGATATTCATTGCAATACCATTGCTTTGTCAGAAGGATAAGTTATTTTCTTTTCATTTATTGCCAATTGTGTGTTTATATTATGTGTTTGATAAAAACTGCCAAGGAATTAAAAGTCACAAAAGTAAAGCATTGAAAATAAGCATTTTTGAATAATATAGTATTTCATTCCTCTAAACTTCTTTGCTCATAAAAAGAATGATACTGTATATTAAACAAAATTAACTATAAGAATTTATAAAAAGGATAAAATATATATTTCAGTAATAAATGTAATTACTATTAATTATGTTTTTATTTTGTAGGAATTTTTTTTAATTATGTAGTTAGATAATTTGAAACTTTTTTTTTTTTTTTCATTTGCTTAGTTTTGAAAAAAAAGTAATTGGCAGTGTTTTGCCATAATTAATAACCCATATAGTAATGACAACTATTATTTAGTATTAAAATTTATTACTGAAAATTTTATTATCTCATGCAATTAAAATAACTATATTCATATTTTAAATTCTCTTCTGTTAACTAAATCTGATCTCATGAAATATGCCACTTGAAGCATTTTTGAATTTTCATTCTAGAGTTCTGATCAGTGCTTTTAATAATTTTCATTAATAAGTAATATTTGTCTGGGTTAATCTTTGTATTATGGTAACTTGGCGATTTTTTGGCGACCAACCCTGCTAGTTTTTGTTTGAACGCCATTTTGTTTTCACGAAGTAAAGGCATGTTTTTTTTTTTTTTTTTTTTTTTTTTTTTTTTTTTTTTACTCAACATTTCCAACATTTTTTTTTCCAACAATCTGCTAGCCGAATTACGCTTATGCTAGAACTTTTATGGAACAAAAGTGCAAATCATGACGTAGATTAGGTGCGAAATTGGGACAAAGTGCAGAATCGCCCACTGCTTGCCGCGTTTTTACAAATTGCACATACACGGTATCATCCATGTACACATTGATCTATTTTCACTTAAAAAAACATCAAAGAATTGCACAAAAATGGCATTGCGCACACTCTTGACTATATCCATGTACACTGCTAAAGTCCTAGCTAGTAACCTTTATCGCCTTACCAAAATGTCGCCAAACTACCTGTTACCATATTCCAAAGATTAGCCTTTGTCTGTTACAGTTGTTGAGGATCATTGTTGATGAAAGAACTAAGGAAAATATATTCATAAGAGAAAAAGGCATGATAAAGAGTAATATCAAAGTAACTTCATCTTAGAGTCTTAGATCTTGCTTCATAGATGTCCTTTCTGGCACTAATAATGATTTTTAGAAAGTAAGTTTCATTTATAGGACTTTTAGAGTATGTTTCTTCTTTTCTGTTCAATGCATTTCAAAAATTGGTACTTTCTGATTATCTGCAGCTCCCTCCCAGAAAGACACTAACCATTGGTGACTAATTTTTTGACAAGTGAAGAGGCAAAAGATAACAGCCATTTTCAAAAATAGTGGTGGACTAAGAATTACATAAAATGGTTACCAATTAACAAAATTAGAAATGCAAGAAACATTGGTAAAAATATATTTACGGGTGGGTGCCCCTTGGCGATTTTAGGCGGTGCATAAACACCGAGTTTGTGCAATTCTTTGACTTGTTATTTTGGCTTTGTGTAGCGCAAAAATTGCCGCTACATGAATCCAAAGCAACAAGTCAAAGAATTGCACAAAAATAGGCATTGCGCACTCCCTTAACTATGAATTTACATGTCTTCAGTGAAACAAAATTCCTTAACAGTATCCAAAAACTTCCTAAAATTATCTGAACTCTGTACTAGTCTAAAATTCTAAAACTCTAAAATTATCTGAATCTTTATACTGGTGTCGCCACTTAAATTCACAAAAATAAGAGTAAAAAATATCCTCCATAGTGCTGGTATCCTCCGACGTTCGACCATACGCATTTCCTTCCTACAAACAGGACACTTATAATGGCTACAAAGTAAACCTTCATTTACACACCAGTCAATTAATGCTTTTTCCCTTTTGTTCCAAATCATAGAGAAATTCAAATTAATCTTACCACATTCAACCATTTTACCATAACCAACACGCACACACAGTCCCTTACAAATCTTTTCCTCACCATTCAAATTCACTGCAATCATGCAACGAATTATGTCATAATAGGGTTTCCATAACATTCAAGTACTCAGGTTACCATAAATGAAACAACTTGGTGATAAATGAAACAACAACTTACTGATAATCCAAGGGGCAACTTTAAATCTACTCTAACCAAAAACATTTATAATAAAACACTTTTTTTTTTTTTTTTTTTTTTGTTTCTTCCATGTATACATCAATCTATTTTAGCTTAAAAAATCGTCAGAGGATTGCAAACATTTGGCAAGATGCACAACTTGGCCCTGCATACACTGTTAGTTCTCTTTATATACACAGCAATTTGTTTTCACATAAAAACTTCGCGGAATTGTACAAATTTGGTACTGTGAATGTTGTTGTTGTGTTTTATTTACAGAGCATCTGTTTTGCATAAGAACATCAGAGGGTAAAAATATATTTACGGGTGCCCCTTGGCGATTTTGGCGGTACACGGATACCGAGTTTGGGCAATTCTTTGACTTGTTATTTTGGCTTTGTGTAGCGACGATTTTTGGCACAAAAATTACCGCTACACAAAGCTAAAATAACAAGTCAAAGAATTGCACAAACTTGGTATTCATGTACACATCAATCTATTTTCACTTAAAAAGTCAAGGAGCAGCCAGCAAAAAATATATAATCTCAATAAACTTTATTTTAAATTAAACAATGAAATAACATAAAAAAAGAAATTCATCTTACCACTACACAAGGAAATATCAACTTACCTCACTTAGAAATCCCCCTGTCTTCAGTCAAACAAAATTCCGTAACAGCATCCAAAAAAACTTCCTAAAATTATCTGAACTAGAATTTGTATACTGGTGTCGCCAAATAAATTCTCAAAGATAAGGGTAAAAAAAGTATCCACCGTAGTGCCGGTATCCTCCGACGTTCGACCATATGCATTTCCTTCGTACAAACAGGACATTATAATGGGCCACTAAGTAAACCTTCATTTACACACCAGTCAATTAATGCTCTTTTCCCCTTTCATTCCAAATCATACAGAAATTCAAATTAATCTTGCCACATTCAGCCATTTTACCATCTAAACCACAAAAGAAGCAACTTACTTCCTAACCAACACACATCACAAGCCCTTAAAAATCTTTTCCCATCATTCAAAAAAGTTCATCGCAATCATGTACCCAATTATGTCATAATAGGGTTTCCATAACATTCAACTACTCAGGTTACCATAAATGAAACAAAAACTTCGTAATAATACAAGAGGCACCCTTAAATCTACCCTAACCCATCAGAGAATTGCACTAGTTTCAGTCTTTAAAACTTGATTGTTTATGAAATACAACTTCATGGAATATTAATTTTTCTGCTTTCTGCTATGTAAACAAATACGAAGTTTCGCCAAGTGCCGCTTATGGAAATATCCCCCAAAAATGCACTCTGGAACCTTAAGATAACCAGTTAACCTGAAAAGCACCATTCTAAACACAAGAAATTTTGACAGCTGTAATTCTGCAACCGTTATAAGAATAGATTACAACTAATTTTATTGATCCTTTTACTTCTGGCACATGATTTTAGCAAGATATGGCTACAAAAGACATATTTTGCAGAAGTGTTTTGGCATTTTTTAAGAAACTTTAGTCAGGAAATACTGTGCTGTTTTGTGGAAATTGTCCTTGAATATTTACATTGTTTTCCTACATAAACAAATAGCTGTCTCTTTGATGGTTTTATTGGGTCTTCCAATTCAGCCTTATCAATACAAAATGGTTTATATAGTCTAATTATTCAGCAACCTATGTAAAATAGCATAACTCTAACTGTATAGAAACATACTAAAATATGTGAATCTCCAAAGCTTGACAAATCACCTGCCTTGTGCTGTTCTATCAGAAATTACACTGAGTGTGCAAATGTGTATGTGAATGCAGTATAAAATTTGAGATCCAGAATCAGGATTTTGAAAGTTTCCAGATTTTTAGATTATCTTTCTAAATCTAGTAAAATGGGTTGATCTTTACATTATGGTAACTTGGCGATTTTTTGGCGAAAATTTGGCAACCAACTCTCCTACAGCAACCCTCTACTTTTTTTTCCCCGCCGCCATTTTGTCTTCACGAAGTAAAGACATGTTTCTTTTCTTCTTATCTACTGAACACTTCTTCCAACAATCTACTAGCCGAATTACAATTATGCTAGAAATTTTATCAAACAAAACTGGTTAATCATGACAAATATTAACTGCAAAATTGGGAAAAAGTGCACAATACCATACTCCTTACGCGTTTTTCAAAATAACACATACACTTAAACCATGTACACGACTTATTTTTACTTAAAAAAACATCCCAGAATTGCACAAAAATGGCATTGCGCGCACTCTTCACTATATCCATGTACACTGCTTTTTTCTCATAAATTAGAAAAATTTCACGAAAATACATGACAATTTTCTCAATCTTTAAACCCGGTAAAAAGAACATATATGAAATTACCTGATCGCGAAAAAGTATTTATCCTTTACAAATATGAACATTTCCACATATAAAATAAATAAAATATCCAAAAACTTTTACCTCTAAATCATCTATTACATTATACACGTCACCAACGAATTCATACCGCAAGCATTACAAATACTTAGTATCAAATATTTAAATTTTTTCCATGCACGTTTATTTCAACTTAAACGTATACCAAATTCCTACAAACATAAAATTCACAAAATAACTCATTTAATTAAAATATCACTAAACCATGTACACGTCGACTTATTTTTACTTAAAAAAACATCCCAGAATTGCACAAAAATGGCATTGCGCACACTCTTCACTATATCCATGTACACTGCTTTTTTCTCATAAATTAGAAAAATTTCACGAAAATATATGACAATTTTCTCAATCTTTAAACCCGGTAAAAAGAACATATATGAAATTACCTGATCGTGAAAAAGTATTTACCCTTTACAAATATGAACATTTCCACATATAAAATAAATAAAATATCCAAAAACTTTTACCTCTAAATCATCTATTACATTATGCACATCACCAACGAATTCATACCGCAAGTATTACAAATACTTAGTATCAAATATTTAAATTATTTCCATGCACATTTATTTCAACTTAAACGTATACCAAATTCCTACAAACATAAAATTCACAAAATAACTATCATTTCATTAAAATATAATTAAATTCAAAAACACTACTTAAAATATAAATGAGCACATACATTAAATTAATAAAAAATTACCTTACAATCCTAATTACTTTAAACTAAATCATTGCTAATAACAATTTTCCCAATAATACCAAATTCCTTTCCACCTTACATTTAGAACAATGCATAAAAATAATATCCTGAAATAATTAAAAATACTAACTTACCTAATCTTCTTCAGAATCTTGATTACGTGGCGGATACACTTTTCTAATTCATTCAATAAAATTATTGAAAGATTTTTTCTGCGAATTTTTCCTCCATACTTCCTCCGCTAAATAAAAAGCAAACTTCTCTTTATCACAATGCCTAAATACCCATTTCGAATTCACTTTAATTAGGTCCATGGGATCCAAAAATTACACCAACACTGTTTCACACAACACAGAATAAAGCTAAATACAAAATTTCCACATTTTTTCCCGATTTCCCCCCCTTTTCCGATTAAAGAACCGTAATTCGTCCATTAATATCACATGACATATCCCATGATCTCTCATTTCCCTCACGCAAAATAATGCGTAATCGGAACTGAGTACTGCTCACATTATTACCAAAGCCCCAGGTAGTAACCTTTATCACCTCCAAAATGTCGCCAAACTACCAGTTACCATATTGTAAAGATCAACCGTAAAATGATATGTAGAAATTATGAAATTAAAAGTGTGATCTAAGTAGTTGCTTATTATTTCTATCAATAAAAATTGCATTCTAAACTGTTTCATTTTTTATGCTAATACTTTCTTTTTAATTTTATAGATAGACATAATTTCTTGTTCAGTTAGAAAGTTCTATTGGTAAGTCCTGTAATTATTTTGTTGAGAACGTCGGTCGAAATCTGTTCATTCTAAACAACTTTTTTGAGATTTTTCTTAACTGTTGGTAGTAATATTTTCTGGATTTAAACACATTATGCAGTCAAAAGTCTTTAATCCGGACTCGTCGGGACTTCGGCGATTCTGATTATCGAATTTTCCGGATTATAGATCATCAGTTTAAATCTGGTAAGATAGCACGCAGAAATTATAAAATTAAAAATATAAAACCGTAATTTATAAAATAATGAGCAATTATGATCTAAAGGGTATTGAAATTTACAAAAAAAGAAGCTTAATATTTATTTGTTTACTTTATTAAACATTTCTTTTAACGCACGCATGCGTAAAGCATACCTTACGCATAGCCGAAATTAGAAATTTGCAACCAGAAAACTATTTGATTTGTATTCGTGATACTTATAATGATAGGGATTTGATTTAAATCATATCAAAAACGGAGTACATCGAGATTAAATACTACATTTAGTAAGGAATTATAAGCCGAATAAAATAAAAACATCTACCCTAAAGAGATAACGATAGTGCTGACAGATCAACTTCCAGTTCATTGCCGGCGCCGCGATGCCCCCCCCCCGCAGAGCAGAGTGAAATTGACAAACAGATTTCGAAACCGTTAGATAAACAAAGGATATACCTTTATTCATTTTTTATAGCAATTCGTTTTTTGTTTAATAGACATCGAAGCATACTTTCGTTTTCTAGATCCTTTGGGAGCTCCAGCATCGAAAATTCTAATTTGACGTAATCGAAACTTCAAGCTTACTTTTATAAAATTGCTCTTACAGTCTGCAAAAAATAATAAGCTAGATCCAATTCGAAGATTAAGGAACAACACAATCATCAACATTAACTGAAATAGATAATTAGATAATTTTAGCTTATACCGTCCGTTTTACATTAAACGCGCACGCGAAAACGTATTTTGCACTTGCGCACACACATATGCGCAGTTGTAAATGTCTTGCACGCACATGTAAAACGCCTATGCGCATGCATCAACGCGGCGCATGCGCAGAAAGATTTTAGCTTTGAGGTCCGGATTATGGGTGTCTGAATTAACGACTTTTGACTGTATAGAGTTTGCTGTTCATTAGTCGATTGAGTTAGTGCATTATCATGATAATGGAAAACTTATGTTATAATATTATCTTCATTTATTATTTCTTCTGCACATTTCTTCACAAATTGCATTAATTGGAATATTTAGCATATGGTATATGATATCTAGAAAACTTCAAATTCTTGGCTGTCATCATATCACCATGATATAATGATAGTTGGTCATAAATAATGTCAAACATTTTTTTAAAAAATATATGTAGTCACATCTTTCCATGACCTTGCAGTGTTCCACACAACAGATTTTATGTAACTAGTGGACAAGCCTGCCAGCTGAGAGGGCTGATGCCCGCTATTCATTGTTCGTGTGTATAAGAATTCCTAATGTAATTTGTTTTGGATGCCATTTTGTTTTCATAAAGTAAAGGCATGTTTTCTTTTTTATTACTTAACATTTTTTCTAACAATCTGCTAGCCGAATTACGCTTATGCTAGAACTTTTATGAAACAAAAGTGCTTAATCATGACGAAGATTAGGTGTGAAATTGGGAGAAAGTGTGGAATCGCCTACTGCTTGCCGCGTTTTTAAGAATTGCAGATAGTACACGATATCCATGTACACATCGACCTATTTTCACTTAAAAAAAATCTCAGAATTGCACAAAAATGGCATTGTGCACACTCTTGACTTTATCCATGTACACATCGACCTATTTTAACTTAAAAAGTCAAAGAAAATTGACAAAAATCCAATTCTTCTTACTCTTGTAAAAAGCGCCAAACAAATAAGTGGCGATTCTGCATTTTAGCAGTGAAATTGTTTCTAAGTGCTTATTAGCTAAAATCCCGATTGTAATTTTCCGGGAAAATGTCACATTACATGTCTCATGATCTCTCATTTCTCTGAGACAAAATAATCTGTGATTCGAACTGTGTACTTCTCAGATTATTTCTAAAGTCCTATTCTTACCAAAATGTCGCCAATATTACCATATTCTAAAGATTAGCCACCTATTTTAACAAATGTTATCATCTAATGCTTTTTATTACTGATATTAATTACTGCTTTTTATTATCTAAACACAACCATTAGTTTCAATAATTTAAATGCTTTTATTAGCATTTAAAAAAAGATTTAAAAAAAAATATTTTCTTATTTACACATTTAATGTTCTAAAGAAAAATTAATTGTTCAATAACATAAAAAAAATTCTTAATGTGTTCTCATACTGTGTATTTGTTACATGTGATATTTGTTAAGCATTTTTCTAGACCAGAGGTTCACAACCTTTTTTTGCTCCATACACCCCTTTCACCATTACTAGATCATTCTTCCCTTCTGTCTCAAACTCAAAAAGTAATATCAAGAGAGTTTCTCAAACAGAGGGGAATTCCTCCTCCAGTTGAGAACTGTTTAGAAAGGCTGTTTTCAAGTAATTATATACGCAAACATATATGTACTCTGATAACTATAAGTATTTATAAATTTTAAGCAAATATGTTTGCCTGGGAAACTGGACATGAAAATATATTGAAGACAATAAAAAGCAACTGTTATCCATATTTTAGTTTTTTTTCTGGAACATATGCAATCAAATGACATATAGTTATTATGTCGGCAGCAAACTGTTGACATGTTATCATGCATTTCCTTTTTCTAAATCAATTTCAAAGCTATGATTCTTGGTTATTGGTGAAATTTTATTAAATTGTTTGTTAAATATAATTTTATTCTATATTTTATTTAATTTACTTATAGTAAGAAATAATTATAAAAAATTCACATGCTTTTTTTTGCTCTAATTATAGATTTTATATGTTATTAAAATGTTTGTTATCATCAAGTTCTTATGCTGCATATTAACCAATTAACAAGCATTTCTATGTAATAAACAATTTAGGGAATGGTTTTTATATAATTATCCATGTAATGGTTAATCTTCTTTAATGTCATAATGATGCTTTTCAGTGTTGCATCAAACATCTATCAACAACCCCTCAGTCAGTATGGAGATTAGTAAAGTGTCACACTTGTGACCTTGAGTTAAATTCAGTATGAAGTATTGTTATTTTTTATTGTATAATTTTTATAGAATGGGACTTTTAAATCCTGTTCCTCTGAAAGTTCTCTCATGAGATGGGTGACAGGAAGGAAAGGGAGACAATGAACCTCTTAGATTCAAGTCCTTGAAGTGCTTTTGATTGAACTTGAAAGAAAATTTATGCAAATTAGCCATGTATGTATGGCATTCACCAATTCAGTGCTTACAAGTTTTGAAAGAGTCGGAATTCTTGAATCTAGAGCACTAGCGCTCTTTTGGCTTAGTGGTAGAGAATTCCGCTCACATGAAACAGACTTGAGTTCGATCCCCAAAACCAAATGACCTTTTATACTGTGCTTCTGATTAGACCTACAGATGTTGCAGAGTAAGCCTGTGCTAAAACACCAAACACACTGAACAACTGCAAGCCATAAATCACCACAGTCCATCACATATGCTTTGCTTTCATTAAATTACAAATCTGCTACATCACAGACCAACTAGGAAATTATTATTATGCATATTTTAAAATGGAAACAAATTATTTCAGATTGAACTTGTCTGTAATTTCTGAAACTGTCAGAAGGAATTTCTGTTATTTTGCCAATATTCCCGTTCCCAATTTCCCCTCTTAACTGCACAGAATATTTGTATTTTTTATCACAATCTTAAGTAAGATAATGATAAGTGTTACAATATGATTCTATAGTATTTTATGTCAATATTGAACTATCGTAGTCCAAATATTTCTCAAGAATGCCAGTTTATGTCATTCTAAAATTTTACCAAAGACTTGAATAACTTTCAGCTTAATATTAAAAATTATATATAAGTCATGCAACTACGTGCAACAACTTCAAAAGTCAGTATTATGATTGTTTAAATGTATCTGGTAATGGTATGGACATTATCATATTCATTCTAAATATAATAATTTGCTATGTGATCTGTTAAAATAATGCTGTTAACCAATTTCTTGGAAGTGAATGTTTCATTACACATCATAAAACTTTTGTTGTTGCATTTCTATATAAACAACTGAAATGAAAATTTCACTCTAGGGTTTTTCATGCTCTAAATGACATGACAATTTGCAACAATTCATCTTTCCTGACCCGTGACATATAGCCTTTTCATTAAACACCATTTTTATGACATTATTTATAAGTTATTGATAAGTAGAAATATGAATAACATGAAGATCAGCTTTTAAGTGATAAGGTTTTTTAATAGTCCCACCAGTTCGAGTAACATAAATATGTCCATTTGTAGAATCTGGTGATACAACACTTCTTTCAGAATTTATTGACACAACACTTCTGTTATGTGCAGGAGAATTAACAGACACATTTAAATTTGAGTATTACTAATCTCAGGTTTGTTTGTATCTTCACCTTTGTGACTTTCATTTTCATAATTTTTTTGGACTGAAAGCTTTCCGATTAGTTTCTGTAAAAATATCTTTTCTATTCCTTACTACAACTCTTCCATCTGTTCTTGTAATGTTGTATGAATGTGGTCTTTCCGCTTCTGCTACAGTTTCACCACTTTTAGTTTTTTCTGTTTTTGATTTTATGTACATGATCTCGTGAAATGATCGTTAAAACCTTCAGTAGTTTTATTGGTCTTGCATTATATATCCAATATTGGTTTTGCATTATGGTCCTATCATAATAACTTTTTTTTAATGCTTGTCCCTTCAGTAAATGTTGCTTTTTTTTTTCTTCATGTTGGTTAGTTTGGACAAAATTTTCTTTTATAGGCATGATTCCATTCTCTTTTTTCCCAATCATCGATTCTGAAAGTGATTAAATTTCAGCTAAAATAGGAGAGTTAGAATATTCTTGTAACACTAAA